GCCTGTAGAATGATGGAGAGAGTGATCCATCGGTAGGTGAAACCCGTATCTATTACAGGAAGAAGAAGATGGAAAAGAATGAGGAGAAGTATGAGCCTCAAAAGTAGCTGTCTCCGTATGACCAGAGTGAACAGGAGGCTCTAAAACCTGACTCTTCTCCCGTCGCACTGATGCATGTTGTGCAATCCTCTCGTGCATTAGTCTATCGTGTCTGTCAGTCATAATTCATGTGAGTTAAAGTAAACCAAATATTTAATGTAAGCAAGCAACATCACAAACAAGAAAAGCAAAAAATGAAATAGATTGCTAATATATGGAGATGCATCTCTGGTTACTGAAAAACTTAAACGTTGAAAATTTTTGTTTCTGCAGTACCTCAGGTGTGTCAATGGCGGCAATGCAGACATAGAAACACAAAAAAATGGTTTGGTCATCATTTTCAGTCAACAAACATGTTTTACACTATGTCTAAATTATCACTCATGCAATTTATACTCATTTTTCACCTTAATCATCAATTTATACCCATTTACACAAAAACTCAAACATTTCAAAACATCAAAAAAACTTACAAATGTAGATTTTACCTCAAACATTGATGATGTATCTGATGCATTTGATGTTGATTGAAGAACCTATGAGCTTGGTTGTTTAATTTGGGAGTTGGTTGATGGAAAACACTTTGAGAGAGTTTGAGCAAACTGTGTTTTTTTTTAAATGAGAAAAGAGAAGGGTTTTGGCGTGATTTAAGTTTCAATACCTTTCTAATATGCTTCTAAAATAAGTTTGAAAATGCATCTTTGGAATATTTTAACGTTAAGTCAGAATTAGATGCATCCAGAGATGAATCTCTAGAATCTAAGGGCATTTTAGTATTTTCACATGGTGTCTAAGTAATATATAGGGTGCAGTAAGAAATTTTCAGGTTCTAATTTTTAAGGGCCAAACTCTATGATTTTTCGAGCTTGTCGGACCAACCCATATAAGCTAGTCCATTTTGACAGCTCTAACAAATATAAACCCTATCATTTATCATTTTATTTTTTATAGAATGTAAAAATGATAGGATTTACCAGACACATTCAATAATATATTTTGAAAATTTTAAGTATATATAAGGTAAATTAAAAAGTCTCAAAAGTATGATACAATTTTGAGGTGAAACCCAACTTATGAAAATAAAGTATTAGATGAAAATAATTGGAGGAATCAGAATGCTAGCAACACTCTCTTTTCAATACTCTCTTATGGAAGAATATATTCTTCTTTTGAATATGACACCTAGGTATGTAAATGGATATTCATGGGGGCGGATGGTAAGATATATGTGTCCGCCCCATTAGATAAAAATGATATTTGTATCCATCATATATCCGTGCGAGTTTTTGCTAAGCAGGTAATCAGCGAATTTTAAGGTATCCGCGGATATTTATAGATATCCATGGATAACTTTTTTTTTTCTTAAATTATTAATTTTTTTAAAATTACAACTTCTTTTAAAGACACAAAAACTTATTATGACATAGTATCCATAGAATTCACTCAAAATTTAACAACAAAAATTCATACATTAATTTTCTTCATTTTCACCAAAATATAATAACATTCAAACATAATATACATTCATTTCATTTTTAACAAAAATAAATGAAAGATATAGTGATTGTGAGTTGTGGTGGAAGAGCAGTCAACAAAGGAGTGGGAAGATAAGTATAGATTGAATGGAGGAAGAGCAATATTTATGGGTTAGACTCTGAAATTGTTTATGTGAGATCTAGAGTATAGAAGAAGCTTAAATATAAAATGCCCAAATATGATTTGTATGAAACGTAAAAGGTTTTCCCCAAAGAAAACTTTAAAATAAAAAAGAAAAATGAAAAGACAGAGTATAATAAACTAATGATATATAAATAATTTTTATAATTTATTAACGGATACAGATATCTGCAGTCACAGTAATATCAAACCTATATCCATATCCATAATATTCATTTATTTTATACATGAATATTCGTTAAACTACCTGCTCCGTATCTGTGACGGACTTTATCCATAAATATAAGTGGATATGAATCATTTTGTTATCCCTAATGATACACAATATATTGTATAATATAAAAATATCTTTTTTTTCATTACTTAATATTTACAAAATATTTGATACTTCATATAAAAAATTTAGTATAAATTTTTATCAAATTATTTGAAAATATCAACAAAAGATTTATTGAATTTTTCAAAAATCTTATGTATTAGATATTTTTCCACACTTTTAAAAATTCGATTATTATGTTGGTACGAAAAAAGAACAAAAAAACAAAAATATTTGATTTACCAAAATTTTTAAAATGTCGGGTCACATCCTGCATATATCGGCAATTTTAAAAATTCGGTATACATATATGTGTTTTTAACGATAATTTAGAAATATTTGATAAACATATATGTATTTTAATCGATAATTTCAAAATTATTGGTAAAAACACATATTATCCATACCAATATTTATAAATTGCCGATAAAATTTCATAATTTAAATTTTACTGTGTATTTGTGAATTGTCGGTATAAATCCATAATTTTATTACTGCTAATTTCTAAATTTCAATAAATAAAAAATCTTGTTTTCCCTATATATGCTGCAAAATGTTTGATAAGAATATTACAATATCAAAATTTTGAAAAATTCCGAAAAATGATATTGTGAATGAAAATTTATTTTTAGCCATGAGGATACTATAATCAAAATAGAATATATGTGAGGGTGTCATGTCCAATTAAAGGGGTGCCAGACAGATTTCTCGAATAATTGGTCAATTGAGCTAATGTTAGTGATGCTATAAAAGTTTTATTTTGTCTATAGGTCTTATTCCATTACTAATCATTTAGAATTTTTTGAAGAACTTATTTGAATTTATCTTATGATTCATATATTTATACTGTATTTGGAATATTTGAGAGAGCTTATAATGTTGTTTTGAGCTTATTTTCTAACCTTCAAAATTAGTTTATAGAAAAAGTTTTTATAATACATAGTTTATTTAGAAAAAATTAATTCGTTTTATTCTAATCTTGTTATTTTATTCTTGTCGAGAATAAAAAAAAAGAAAAACTATTTATGCTATTTGACATAAACAAAACTCATTCATGATCAATAGCACTAACATCCATAAAATAAGGTGTGTTTGTGTTTGAGTTGGCGTTGAACACTTATTCCGACACTTATATTTACATTTAATTTATTTATTTAAATTATTATTAGTGTAATCGTATTAATGTTGGTGTCATACTCGAAGTGTTAGTGCTTTATACCTCCGAAGATACTAAGATTGGAAAGTACATTGTTTCATACAATTTTGATTTAGACTCTTAATCTTGTTGGGAGGAAATCATAATCCAATACACTACTAGAAATACTCAACTTTCCTGCGGATTCTGATAAAATTTCTGTAGAAAACATATTACCTGCGATTTTTCCTGTTATTTTCTGTGCCCAGCTAAAACCTTCGTGGATAATTAACTTAGCAGATAGAGTCGCAGGAAAAAGTCGCAAGTAAAACAGCTAAAATCGCAGATAATACCGCAGGTAACTGAAAGTTTCGCAGGAAATGTCGCAGCAAGTTTAAAATCCGCAGGTAAGTTCGCAGATATTTTCTCTCTCAGGTTTTTAACTTTTATTATTAATTGTATTTAATTCTTATTTAAAATTTTATAAATGTTAAATGTCAAAGGATCAATAATATAAATATAAAAATCTGATTTCAATAAGTCAAAGCAACACTAATCTCATTCAAATTTTTAAAGCAAACATTACTATAAAGTCAATAACAAGTACTTATAGAGTTACATTACTAAAAATGACACAATCAAACTACTAATAATTACTTGTCCAACCAAATTAATCAGAAAAAACCATCCAGATTTCAGACAAATTAACAAGTAAAAAGACAACCAAAGACTGACATTTACATCAAAACATGAGTGAGAAGAGAGAGTATCTAAGGATGTAGATTGAATGTACTTTCATCTGCCAGTTCATTACGAAGAACTTTAGGTGCCATCCATTGAGGCTATAAGCAGAAAAAAGTCTTTTATTCTCTCCGGCCGATCGAAATTTAATCTGCGAGCAAAATCTTCCACTTCCCTGCATCACAAAATAACATCAAAATAAATTTCGAGTAAGAGAAGAAAACGTACACTCTCACACAAGTCACACACAAACATTATGCACACACTATTGAGTGTTCAATATGGATTGGAAAAATGGAGTCTTTTTTTTACTGTTGTGTCACACTTTTGAAAAATAAATATCAAAGTGTTTTAGTTTTAATTTTTTTTTTCAAAATGTCATATTTTCAATATGAATTCGGTCATTTAAGTGACAAATATGTGAAGGAAACATATATAAGGTGTTTGTCCATTAGACGAAGAGCACTATATTAGTACTCTCTATTTTAATTCTAGTAGAGATTAAAAAATAAATGTTACTATCTATTAAAAATAGTTAGAAATTTTACTACATGGGGAAATTGATGCTGTTAATTTGAATCTATTTTGCTTTCTTTGGAATGTACTGTTAGAATCAATGTGTCAACCACTGTAACATAAATCTATGCACATTGTATTACCTGTATGTTTATATAGGATTTAAAACTTAAAATAAAATAAGAGTATCAACTGTGTCACATACCAAATATATCCATTTCATTATCATATACCACGACAAAGTAACATATTAAGTAAATATATGGATATATGGATTATGGATGGCAACAACAGCAGTGCACTACATAAATATATCCATCTCAATATTATACTATATAACTCAATTACATAACAGTGCACTATAAATTTTAATTAATGCATAGCAACAGCAGCAGTGCACTACATAAATATATAATTCCATAATTGCATAATTTGACGGCATTATAATTAAAGATGCAATATATATAATACCTTTGTCCTGACAGAAAGTGGATTAGCAACAATGAACTTGAAATATTAGGGAAGGTATTTACGCTCTCCATCACCATCATTGTACAATGCAGTGCAAACCAGCCTGAAGGAAAGATATATAGTCCATCAAATTAATGTGAAAGAAGCATAGCATACCACAACAGAAAGACATTGTTGAGGGTTAAACTTAAAACTTACGTGTGAGGTCCAAGCTCTTTGACATCATGTTCAACAATAAAATCATAATGCCCACCAGCACGTATAGTCTCAACTGGTGCTTTCGACGTATCTAACAAAAGTATCCTCTGTCTCTCTGTTTGTATTTCAGCCTGGCAGTAACAGTTTTAAGTATAGAATTGGACTAAACAGCCTGGCAGTAACAGTTTAAATATCGAATTGGACTAAAATTTCAAACGAATAAAACAAACAAATTTGGTACTCTCACTATTATGAATAAAACGCATATGCATTTTCTCAGACTTAAGTTGATTAAAGACAATATCAAAGTTTGTTTGGATTGATTAATTGGGATGTTTATCCAAACAGGGCTTAAGGGAATCTACATCTACTTATCTAATTAACCAACATAGATGCATTAAAACAAAAAGAAACCAACGAGTACAACGCAAGTAAAAAAACAAGGTAATTGAACAGTATGAAGGTTAGTTAGAAGAAACTGACCTTGATAATAACTTCTCTGACTTCAATATTGGAGCTATTGTTTATACTTATATAGCTACAGAAAGTTTCTCCCAAGTAAATTGCTCTGCATCAATCAAATTGGAATCTAAATAAACAATTACAAAAATAAAATTAAAAAAAAAAGTAATTGAAAATTGAGAGAGAGTAGGGGGACCCGAAGGGCTGAGGGAGAACGAGGAGGCCAAAGAGACCCATGGAATCGGAGAAGTGATGAAGGAGGAAGCGGTCGCGATAACTGAGATCGGAATCGGGAGCGATGAGGTCTGCGGCGGAAGGGGCGGAGGGAACGTCGAAGTGGTCTTCACCGACTAAGAGGTCGTCGGGATCGATACAAAGGGGAGGATCGACATTGAAGGATGAACGGCAAAGTCGCATAACCCTAAACGCCACTGAATGAGAAGATGAAGATCCTCCAGTTTGACTCATCTTCTTGGAATTCAAATGCGAAATGTGAATGTTTTGCAGTCACATAAGAATCAGCACCGAGATCGTTTCCAGTGTGTTTCTTTCAAAATGATAATGTAATTGGGTTCGGGGTTTTTCTATGCTAAAGATGAAATTGTTACTTTGATGTATTGATTATCGTAAGTACACCCAATTTTGCAGGTGATCTCAAAATGTTTGAAAACGGTATACAACTGCAATATGTGGCAGGAACAATAAGATTTCAGATATCTATGTTGCAGCCGCAATTACAGTAAAGCATCGTTCACCACAATATTCCACAATATCAATTATCACAAAACAACAATCAATTTTAAACCCAAATCTCAATCTTTTAATCAAATACTTATCATGATAAACTAAATACCAAATAAAAACAGGTGTAAGTATTACAACTTATTATGTAGTAACATTATTAAGTGTAGTTAAATGAACGATAACCATACCAACAACTCGGTGGTGAGAGACTCAAGCCTGGATTCCGACATCCACTCTTCAATTCTGGGAGTTTTTGGTGTCCCGACCAAACTACTCTTAATCAAATTCACAGGGGAGAGCATCACAGGACTTTCATCAAACACCTTGCCCTCAAGAACATCCCTCTTCTCCGAATTCAAACCGGCATCTCGTTTTTTCTCAATATTACTGCAAACCCTACCAACAACCTAAAGCTCTGTTACCCCGAAGCTGAGCCAAAGTTCCAGGTTGCAAATACTTTCCTCAAGTGCATCTCGTTTTTTCGTTGTGTCCATTGTTGACGGCGAGTTGCGAAACTGTGGTGTAGTGAGAATGGGATTTTTTTTAATTTTTTATTTGATTTTATTGGACGAAGAGAAAGGAGTAGGGTACTTGAGTGAGTAACTGAGTCGGATACTGAAAACTTAGTAGTTGAAAATTAACTTTTTGAATTTTATTTTGATTGTTTAAGTTAAGGAACAAAAGAAGGAGCGGATAATAGAGAAAATTAACTAAATTTAAATGTGATTGTTTAAGTTAATGGATTTTTTTTTTTGCCATTTAATCTATAATTTGATGATTTTTTTATTTAAAAGATTTACTTTTTATTAATTTTTTTTACACTTAATCCATAATCTAAATTGTAAAATTGAATTGCAAATTAACAAATGATCTCTAACATAATAATCTAGTTATTTCACCAAAATATTTTAATACACAAAATGAATAAAAGCATTATATATAATATAAAATAATATAAAAATATATGTTCTAAATTGAATAAAAGGTTTATTTTATTCTCTTTTTAAATTTTAAATTTTTAAAAAAATTATAAGTTGAAGGATTACACATCAATTATATCGTAAGTTTATATTTTTTATTTTTCTAATTTTTACAACAATAAAAAAGCATTAAATAAATAAATTTTCTTTAAAAAATAACTAAAAAAACTCAATTAATGTTATAAAACATTCTTAAAAAAACTAAAATTTAATATAAATAAATGTCTCAACAACATATTTTTGAAACCAGTGTTTTATAATTTTATTTATTAATAGTAAAAATATAACAAAAAATAAAAATAAACCAAACGATTCGCAGAAACGGTCGCAGGAACATTTACAGCAAACTTCGCAGCAAATCCTGCGACATCTCCGGAGAATTTTGTAGTTTCAATGGATAACAAATTCCTGCGAAATAGTTCGCAGCAAATCCTGCGACATTTCCAGAGAATTTTGTAGTTTCAATGAATAACTAATTCCTGCGAAATACTTCGCAGAAAAATCCGCAGGTAATTTATATTTTATTTTTAAAACTAAAATCGCAGCAAATGTCTCAGGAATTCCTGCGAAATTTGCTGCTACTGTAATTTTTGCAGGTAATAATGTTTCATAATATAAATGCGCAGGTGAGATCGCAGGTACTGCTGCGGAACATTGGCCTCAGGAAAATCCGCAGGTGATCTGTGTATTTCATGATAACACAATCTCTCTTGAGTATCAACTATAACGACAATCAACAAAATACACCAAACGCGCAACACAATTTTAACGTAGAAAAATCTCTGTTAACTAGGAGTAAACAAACTACAGGACATGTGGGGTACTTAAATCTCCACTATAATCAAACAATTGGTTCATTCAAGGTTCTCTCAAAAACTAGTTAGAGGCATAAATCAACATACTCAAAACTTACGATCATTATTGGAACACAACAAGAAATCGGAACACAACAAAAACTACACCTTAGAAAATCACTCGGCAGACAGGTTTGAAAAACCTAAAACTCGGCCCCCACTATTCATAATGTACCTCTAAGAGTGTTGAACATTGTCATCAAAACTCGGGATGATCTCATGGGACCGATTTGTGTTGAATTGGGGTTGCGTGAATTTCACTCTTCTCTAAATTTTTCTTTTGTTGTTTCTCACCTTATGAATTGTTGACCTAATTTTCTTTGTTAGATAATAACAAAGGCTTGCAAATACATAAACTACTAACCCACATTCATTTGGACCACTCTAAATATGAGGAATAACATAACAAATCTGACATTAGAAAGTTCAAATTATACAATAACAAAACGATATAAAATTATCTATGCCCATTAATTGAATAATAGTTAATCACGTAATGGTGTTTGTTAAAACTTTACCAAAAGTTTAGATATCGTACATCTGTGTTTGATTTTAGTACGTGTGAGATGAAATTTTAAATTATATTGTGTGAGAAATTCATGTATCAATCTTGAGGAAGAGCAAGAAGATCTTTAAGGGACCTCGTTTTTATTATAAATAAATAATGTTTATATTTAAAATTATATTTAAAAATTAAGGAATGAAAATTATCATAATTGTTAAGTGATAGTAAGATTTTAATAAAATATTTGTTAAAGAATATTATCGTATTTATTGATCTTTGATATAAGAGTTATATGTAAAAGCTTTTTCATGAAAATTGTGCATTGTTTTAATTAAAAATTGATAATTAATTTCTCCATTGCTTTTTTTAACATAAAATCTCTATTTTTATATTTAAGATACATGTTAGCATTATTATTTTAACATAAGTTTTTTATATATATATTAGAACTCTGGAACTCTGATAATAATATGTAAGATATAAAGTAGTGTAATGTTGTTCTTAATTCTAAAAAATGTTTTACTTTATATTTTAAGTTTTATTTATTACCAAATAATGTATAACTTTATTTTGTATTTGTGTATATGCTCGTGGCATTTTGGTATTATGCTAATGCAAAATCGAACAAATTGAAGAAATGATTGTATTCCCGAGGTTTATACATCCTCCTATAATACTCAAGTGCACTCAAATGTCATTGTATTTCCGAGGTGAAATTCAACTGTTGTTTTTTGTCTCCCCAGCAATTGATTTTCCTGTCTTGCTTTTTTATATAAGGTCCACTTAGTATTTCAAACGCTCTTTTTACTTTTGGCACAAACTGTAAGTTTCATCTCTTCTACAAACTCTGATATTTCCCCTCTGAGCTCCACTGACACCCATTCTTATCAGACTCTTTTATTCTCCAGGTCCCAGATTTCTTGGTTCATCTTTCCTGAAAGTCACTTCTCTTTCACCCACTATCTCAGTTTTCAGCTTTTTCACGTACCATATCTCTATTTCTTATTTGCATGTCATCGCTTCCTTTTCATTGTATTAGCCGTTATAAGTTGTAAATATAGAAGATATACCTGCAAATATAATAGACACATATTCCAAGTGGCGATGATGTTTCTTATGATACTAAGATAGTAAACCCATAAATTTCAAACATATACCCTTTTGAGGCTAACCAACTCATTACAAAATTTATAGTGCTTAATGATAGTTATAAGTCTAGCTAGAGTTTTATTAAAGATGGTAATGAACCATCTAGTTCTCATCCTGTCGGAAGTATAGACTATTCTAAAAAAGGAGATGGATGAATGAAATATGGTGATCTCATTGTTAAGTGACAAGTCACCATTTTGTTTCTTCCTTCAAATTTAGATAATCCTTTTATTACTCCTCAAGCTAGATACTCTAATGAAAAGATGAGAAAAATAATTGCAACTGATATCATGTTTCATGAATATCCTTTTAGAGTTTTCAAGGATAACTTTTGGATATGGGGTTTCCAATCTGCAAATCCAAATTTTTGTAAGGTTACTCATTAAACATCGAGAAGTGATTGTGTGGCATTATTTGAGAATGATATAAAAGTGTTGAAGAAACTTTTAAAAAGTGTGAGTAAAATAAGTTTAACTAAGGATATGTGGAAATCTAGCCATTAAATAGTTGAGTATACGGCTATCACATGACATTTCATTGATGCATGATACAAAAAAGTGTTTTGAGTTTTGTGAAAGTTCATGCACCAAGGCATGATATTCATGTGACTGATTATATTTATCAATGTTTGAAAACATGAGGGATTGAAAATAAAGTTTTTTTTAGTATTTTTTTATAATGCTTCTTATAATGATTTATGCTTAAGATGTCTCATAGATAATGTATATCTAAGTAGTAATTTAATCCTTAGTGGATATGTGTATCATGCAAGATGTTGTGTCCATATATTGATTTTTTTGGTACAAAACGACCTTAGTAAATTTTAGGATATCATTTTCAATATCGTGAAAGTGTCAAATATGTTAATCACAATGATGCAAGACTAAAGGCATTTTTGTTGTGTGATGGAGGAGAAAGGCTTTAAAGAAAGGACGTTCATTGTTAATTGTCCAACAACATGGAATTCAACTTGTAATATATTGTCAACTACTTTGAACTTTATGGTTGCATTTGCGTCCTACAAAGAAAGAGAGTCTCGTTATGATTATGCCTGTTTATTTGAAGAATGGAATAAAATTGAAAATTTTTATAAACTTATATAAGTGTTTACTCATGTCATCATGTAGTTTATCAGCTATTTTTTTACTTTATTATTCTTGTAATTGTTTACTATAACTACTATATTAAATGTAGGTAATGAGTATCCGACTATTGCAAATTTATATATATGTCAAA